TTCAATTTGAATTATTTGTCTATTTTCGCTAAGTAAAATAATTAAAAATAAAAGTATTTTAGTCATTAAACTCATAAAAAATATTTTTTTTACACATTTTATGTATATATATATATATGTTTTGGGTGGTTCTATTTGGACCCTAAAAGGTTGATTAGACACCCCAATTAGGATTGTGTAAAATATTGTTCAATCCGTTAAAATCGTATTGATTCGCACTGATCTATCCGCTAACTGTAAATTAAAGTCTGAAATTTATAATCCATTTTCGAAATTGCTCTACTCTGTCGTAGTTCATAAATATATATTTTTAACCTCTAATGAAATATCAAAATAAAAATATGTGTGATAGAAATTTAAGATGTGAAATTTGTTACAAATTAATAGTTATATATATTAAAAATATTATGTAAAATTAGTTTGTATTATATGTATGAAAAATATTATACAAGTTATTGTTATATATTATGCAAATATTTGATAATTATTTAAGAATATTTTTCAATCAACTAGCAAATTGAAATAACCTCAAATCGCTCAAACCATGGTATGGTTATTTGTCAATCCGCCATTCAAGGTTTGGTTTATAATTTTACTTTCAAATCGTCCAAATTGCACTGTACACACCCCCAACCCTAATACTTTGTACACCTTATTATAAAATTTAAAATTTATTGTATTATTTTGGACACCTTAAATAATACTTATTGTATCTTTAAGAACTCTAGATAGATACTTAATACATCCCAAAAACTAAATTGGCACGTAGAGAAATACTTCTCATGCAGAGCAACCGCGTAACCATCATTGGAGCCATCCTGTCAGAACCCATCGGTCAGAGCTTGTTGATATTCTGAGGTATTTCGCAAATCCTTTGTCACAACCACATCCTGCCCCTATAGGATAGTAAGGTGACTGGCTAGTAATTCCTGATTGCCAAATGCCTAACTTGACAAATCACAAAAAGGACTAAGATATTATAACGATTCTAGTTTGAACCCGACCTGTTCATTATTTTGGATCCGAGCTTTATTGTCTTTATGGTTGTTCATGTCTTCTTCCGTCTTATTCCTTATTGAGATTGGTCATTTGAATGTCTTGATTCTGTTTGAAACATGTTACAAGTTAGTTTTTTCAAAACTGTTGCTGCCTTATTTTTGGCTTGTTCGCTCGAGCGAACTTTCTTGTGCTCGAGCGAATTTTGAGAACTTCCAGTACTTTTGCAGGTCTACAAAACTACTAAGAGTGGCATTCTTCGCTTGAGCAGAGCTTCTTGCGCTTAAACGGTCTTTGCTCGAGCGGTACTTTTTATGCTCGAGCAATCTTTTGGAACTCTCAGTACTTTTGTAGGCTTGTAAAACAACTAGGAGGGTCGTGTTTTTAGCTCGAGCGATCCTTCTTACGCTCGAGCGGTGTTGGCTCAAACAATGCTTCTTGCATTCGAGCGGTCTTTTGGAATTCTCAGTACTTTTTCAGGCCTGCAAAACTACTGAGAGGGTGGTGTTTTTAGCGCAAGTGATCCTTCTTACGCTCGAGCAGTGTTGGCTCAAGCGGTCTTTCTTGCGCTCGAGCAGTTGGCCTTTGTCTGCAAAACTTCTGCGAGTATGTTATTGTGCGCTCGAGCGATACTTTGTTCGCTCGAGCGGTCTCACTTTTTGTGTCTAGTCACTTGAGCGGTTTAAGCGTATATCAGTTTCGAAAAATCACTTTTTGAGTCACTTTTTCATATCTCTCTCTCTAAACATTTCAAAACTTTAAATCTATACTCTTTCTCTCTCTCTCTCTCTCTCTCTCTCTCTAGTTCTTGAACATTTGACCCAAATACTCTCGATCCGTACATTTCCTCACCCTAGTCCCTTTCATAAAAGGTAGAGCACGTCGAGGGTTTCATTTTAATTGAAGAAGTTCGCATTTTCGATACCGTCAAGTTTTATCCATCTTTTCTTTATGTCTTCTTCATTAAGGTGGGGATTACTTTGAATCTTTTTATAATTTTTAATTTAGTTATTTGTCTTTTAAAAAGGATATTGTGATTTGGGGATTTTTGATAAAAATCCAGGGTTTTGGTTTGAAATCAAAAGAGGGGTTTTCAAATGAGTTCTTGAATATATATATATATATGTGTGTGTGTGTGTGTGTGTGTGTGCGCGCGTGTGTGTGGGTTTGTAAATGTAGTTGAGTTGTGATAAAATGATGGATTTTCATCCTTGAAATTGATTTTCAAAGAAAGAGGATTTTGCCCTAAAATGTGAATGTTGGATTTTGTAAAGAAAAAGTGGAATTGATGTTGGTTTTATGAAATTGGAACGATGGTAATGATAGTGGTAGAGTTGGATATGGATTATCACTCTTATTTAGAAATGTTGGAAAGTATATCTGTATTGAAAATTATTTATCTGTTTTGGGCTATCGGTGGTGGATAACTATGGTTATTGTAGAAATTGCATCAGAATTAGATGAATTGAAACTAATTTCTTATCCATTTGTATTGAGCATTGTAACATATTTAACACATTAAAAATGTTTATTGTTTTGAGAAAAATAGGTAAATACCTTAGTAAATTTGGGTAAGGAGTGTAGTTGTGGCATTAAGGTGGTCTGTGTGTCCTTGGTGAAAGTTCAGAAATCCACGTGACTAGGTGCCGAACCTTCCGGTTAATACTAGTAAAAATGGCAATTGGTAGTGCTTGTAGCCTACTTGCGGACACATCCTAGAGATTCTTAGTGTTGTATCCATTGCCCTGTTTTCTATTGTAAAGAAAGTGATTTCATGATTTGTGATATAAGCTGGCATTACATGATTTTTTGAAAGAGAGACAAAATGTTTTGGCATGAGCATAACTTTGTTAAGATTCATACATCGTGTTAGAGTATCTTTACTGAGTTTTGGCTCACCCTATGTGAAAAATCTTTTGCAGGTGCTGATGATATGCTTCCATCAAGGCCATAGCTTAGGAGGACTTGGAGCCGAGAGCTTCTTGTTTTGTTTTTGTTGTATTTATTTTGTATAAGCCTAGGGCTTTATCTGTATTGACTTTCAAACTCACTTTTGTTGTAAACCAAGTATCGTCTTGAAAAGTTGTAGCCAATAAGGCATTACTTTATTTGATTAGCTTTTATTTCATATCTTTTGCTCATAACATATGCTATAAATTCAAGATTAGGACTTATAAATGTATTACTGCATGTGTTATCCTTTTTGTAAAATGGAATCATATGAATGAAAGTTGATTACTTTGTCTCATGTTATTATTTAATTAATATTGTGAGTTGGTTTTTTTGTTATATTTTCGAGGCGTTATAGATATAAAGGGGCTTAATAGTGGAATTTTTCATTTTTAATCCATCAAATTCATAGAGCAATGTATAAGTAAATATGAAATGAAACACAATCTTTATTATTTGACTCTTGAATAATTTACATCATGTATGTAGACAAAAAGAAAAGCACAGATATTTACATCCACAGGTACAAAAACTTGTTAACTATAACAAAACTTGTCAAGACTTGCCTTCCAAAGAACAAAATTGAAAGACAAAATAAAAGAAAAGGACTCCTCGAAATAGGTTTCTCAAGTCCACGACCTCTATCGATGCTCCTCATCCTAATCACCTATATATATATAAGACAATGAACCAAGCCAAGTGAATAATATTAAAGTAAAGTAGTAAATGAATGAATCCCAAGCTCATTAGTAAAGAGTCACTTCATATAGCATTTACAATCATTCAAATATTTCATAAGAATAACTCATAATCAAAGCATGATACATGTTACATCCATTAGAGTCTCTTAATGGAATAATCGACCCGAGTATGATTAGATAATCCACACTTAGGTGGCGATGGAGCTCAAATATAGCCATGGTACTTTTAGACTGTCCCCCGATGGCTGGGACTATGTAAGGATGCCATTGATAACTTTAAACAAAATGCAGGATGTTTATTCATTCAAAATCAAATAAAGATTTCTCAAATCATGACATATTATCAAGTTTTCAAAACTAATGAATTTGATTTTACAATAATATTACTCACAAATGGCTCACGAACAATGAGGTTTTTCCTTTCTTCAAAGAATAGTCTACACAAGGCATAAATAATACATTGAAAACATATAGATTAACATGCTTCTAAATTCATTTCAAGTGTTCTAACCTAACTTAGTGTTTCCCAATCTTTTCTTAGATTATTCAAGGCTTTTCTAAGCTCAACTCAAGTCTAAATCAAGTGTCAAACAAGTGTCGAATGCATGCCTAGAAGCATCCTAGGTGATCAAGGCTTGATCTATATTGAAATGTGCCAAAGATGTTGTTGGCTACATATTTTGTAAAAGCCAGTTACAGTTCGACACGTGGCATAGTAAGGATAATAAAGGAAGGTTGCAAGCCTTTAATCCTGATCGTACACGTGACAATAAACATTGGTCCTCACATGATCCGAGTAACACTAGATCAAATAAACGGGATGCAAGATGACGTGTCTTCAAACGGTTACTCATATTCAAATCTAAGTACAAGAGGGAAGCTCAACTGCCAGTAATGGCGTAATGGAGCTACTTGTAAGGAAGCATGACCAGCGATCATGGAGGAGCAGTTCGACAGTTCGAAGTGCAGTTCGAAGGTCATCACTGACGAGTATAAATAGCAGGGTAACCCCCAGAAAGAGGGACGGACTCAGACCATACAAACCAGTCATTTACTTCATATATTTTCTTTCCAGTCATTTACATTTCCAGTCCTTAAATACCTGTTCTTTAAATACCTGCACTTTAAATACTCGCACTGCACTTCGATTCATAGGAGTAGCTTCAAGTAGATTCAAGTAGATTGCTGTTGTAAACCTCTCCGAGGCTGAGTTCGAACCATTGTAAGTGTTCATTTTTATGAAATACTTCAATTGTTCTTCATATTACTGTTATTTCTCTTAACGTCTCCTAAGTCAAGCCACCAGTAAAAGTCCTCTTCATTGAGGCTGAAAAGAACTAAAACACAATCGTCTGATAATTGGTTGGCAATTATAATTTCTGTAAGGACTGATTGATCCTTGCTGGCACGCTCACATTCACAAAAATACCCTTCGAAAAGCCAAAAAGCCAACATATATTTTTGGCACGCCCAGTGGGACTTAATTAAAAATGGCTAGAAGAAGACGACAAGGAGAAAATGAACGCTTCGAAGAAGGCGTGGAAGGAGAGGTAGAAATACCAAATCCAGAGGATAATGTGGTAACACATCCTGTGGAAACTCCTATATTGTCAGAACCCATGGTCGAGCAGACCAGTACTTCTGGACAAGAACCATATGTTCATATTATTGGACAAAACCAAGGAATTGGACCGTCCACTATGCCAACAAATCCATGGGATGGTTTAGTGAATGCCATGGGACAACAACTAATGAACACAATGGAAAGGTGGGCAACATCCTTTTTGGATCGAATGAATAACCACCAACCAACAAACACAAGACAAACGGAGGAAGTTGTAAATGTCCCCCAACAAAGATTGGCTAGAGAAAAACAGCCTATGCAAGTTAATGGACATACTAATGGTCAAACTAGTACCCAAAACTTGTAAGTATCCAAATCAAAGCCTCATACAATTAAATAAAATTTAAATTCAGATCAAAATTTATGACTTATAATAGCACATCCATTGAATGTGCACACACTGCTAATATATATATACACACAAAGAAATAATATGGTTTTCGGTTATTCTTTGGGGAAAAATAACTGAATCATCAAATAATTGATTTACCTATGATATTTGAGATCATAAATACTAATAAAATGGGGAATGGAGTAAATAAAAAGAAAAGAAAAAAGAGAATACTTCCGTGCAGAACTGAACGGTGCTCTTGGGTGGCACCCACTATATGTCTTAGATGATTTGTTCTGGTGAATTTTATTTATTTTTAGATTTTTCATAAAAAATAAAATAATTTTGATAATTTAATCTATGTGATTTTGTATTTATTATTTTAAAAAAAGGCACACGGTTCATAAATTTAAATTTTATTTGATTAAAAGTTCAGGCGTTCAAATATTTTATTCAAAAGGATAAGCTCAAACAAAATAACTAAAATACCTTTCTTTATATATATCACTAGTGGCTGGACACACACGATGGGTGTGTAAACTCATTTAGAGTTATAATATGAAATTCACATTTTTTTTCTTCTAATAATGGACATATAAATGATATGTATAACTATCACTACAACAATTTACATTTTTGGTGACTAAACTTTTTCTAGTCACCAAAAGTTATAGAATAGGAAACTAAAAATTACATTGGTCGCTGTTGAATATGGTTTTTAGCTACTAATTTTTTTTAGTAGCTGTATCTTAATTATTGACGACTAAAAAAAAATTAGTCACTAAATATGTCACAATAGGCGACTAAAAATTGTTTTAGTCAGCATTAGATCATGTTTTAGGTTGCTAAAATTTTTATTAGTCGTGGTATACCCGTTTTTGGCTATACTAAAACAAATTTAGTCGCCAAAAAGCTAGCACACTGTTTGCTATTAAACTTTAGCGACCAAAGTTTTGGTCAGCAAATATTCATTTTCGGTGACTAAAAATTTTTTAGTCGTTGTAAGGTAATTTTGCCTACTAAAATAATTTAGTCACTAAATAAAAAGTATAAATTTTACTTTAATCTTTGGTGACAAAAAATTTGGTTAGGGATTTTTTTTTTGGGTGACCAAAATACCTTTAGTTGCCAAAATTGTTACCTTTGGCGACTAAAATATTAGTCATTGTTAGTTAAATGTTTGGCTACTAAATAAATTAGTCATTATAAATTAGCCTTTGGTGACAAATAACAAGTTTAGTCGCTAAAGGCATATAAAATTTTAGTGGGAAACATTAAAAATTGGCGCTCAATTCTTCTTAATATTTTCGAAAATAGAGGTTCCTTTCTTCTCTCTCTCTCTCTCTCTCTCTCACACACACTCACAGAACCAGTCACCACCAGACCTCACTTCACTGTAGTCGCTCACCACCGTTGCTTACCACAAGTTGTACATTGTCACCGCCACTGCCGCAATACAAACAAATTCTCTCTTCTTTTTCTCTCTCTCTCTCTTTCTCTCTCTCTCTCTCTCTCTCTCTCTCTCTCTCTTCCTTTCCTTATTTCTCCATCAATGTCTACACTACCTACACCCAAACAAAAGCCTACAGTCACTTGCTCTCCCTCTTCTCACAGACTCACCATCCCTGCTAACAGTCACTGCCGCTAACCATTGCCACTCTCGCTACCGTCGGTCACCATCGCGGCTCCCCCCTGTCATCCACATTCAGGTTTTTTTTCTCTCTATGCCTCTCTGTCTCTTTCTCTCTCTCCCTTCCCTCACCATTGCGGATCTAGGGTTTGATTTTATTTTTGATGTTGTAGGATTTTGATAAAATCTTTTTAGGGTTTTACTCTTTTTCTACATTTGAAGCAGATATGAGCTCCAAGTTGTGCTTAATTCCACACTTTTGTTGCTCCAAGTGGTAAATTCGATCATTGTGTACATTATGACACATGATTTGCATTATGCTCCATTGTTCCATACAATAAATAAAATGGAGAGTACGATTCCGATTTGATTATGGGATATATTTAGAAGTTTTGTTAAGTGCCAGTTAGGCTCTTTGCCTCTCTCTCTCTCTCTCTCTATATATATATATATACTCTGCTCTTCTGAGATCTGATTTACCTTAAAATATTGCTTGTCAATGGTGATTTGATACATACTATTTCTATATATATATGTATGTATCTGTAGTTCGGTGGTTACACTGGCTCTGAAGATATACATAAACATGCAATCACAAGCCCCTGATTTTTTTCTCATTCTGTTGATCAAGCTCAAACTGTAAGTCTCTTCAATCTCTCCATATATTCATTCATTTAGGGATCATATCTAGTACTTTGAATGAATGGCTGAAATGTACTGATTTTAATTTGTTTGTCTTCATTGTCTAGTTTTAATTTGAAAAATTGAATTCGTTTCACTTTCAAATTCGTGCTCTTCTCGAGCATATTTAGAACAAGTTATGAAGTTTTTTTGTAATTTATCTCAGATTTTCTTTTGTAATTTTCTTTTTTCATTTGCTGTGAAATTTAGGCTTTTTTTTTGGATCGTTGCTAGATTGAAATAAAGGTGTTGTGATTGGAGAAAAGAGAGAGAGAGAAGATGACTGAGAGCACGAGGTTTCAACTCGGGATCGTTGGCGTGCTGAGCCTATTAGTGATTTCATCAGTTTCAATTGTGATCTGCAATAAGGCCCTTATTACCACATTAGGTTTTAATTTTGGTGAGTTGCTTACAATCAATTGCTTACATTATGTTTTCTATATATTTTTTTTTATTGTATTTACTATAAATTCAATGAAGTGCACTATATGAGAATTGTATATTCCAAAGCTATAACTAAACCATTCAGTAGGGGTGCTATGTAACCAATATATGAAGTACATGCAAAATTCTCAAACAAAGGGTTCAATTGTGCTATTGACCAATACCCCCCCCCCCAAAAAAAAAAAACCACAGAGAGAAGGAAAGTTACTGAAAAGTCCTACTCATTTTGATTTTGATTTATAACAAATACTTAGTTTCACTTAGAAGATTAGGAGATAAGAACCAAGTTTTAAATTTTAAGAATTTGTATTGAATATTTTACCCTTAATTTATAATGATATTTATATGATTGTGTTTATTATATACCAGCGTTATTAAAGGCGCGCCTAGGATATTGATTAAATGCGTTTCTTTGCATTGTTAACTACTGTAGGATATAAATTGCAGGCTCAAGAATTCATTGACACTACTGATATAGATGCTTTGGTAGTATGTATTGGAAATGTCCATGGAAAATACCCTGCAAGTGGCCCAAATCTCAGACTTGATTTGCTGAAGGTGAAGTATAGTTATCAATTGCTTGATTTCGAGTTATTGCATTAGAGTGTTAATTTATTACTAATTAATTTATATGGACAAAAAGTTCACCTCTATTATTAATATACAAGATTTGACAGAGTTGCTTATTCTCCTGTGTTGGATATTTGGTATTTTCATTGACGCCATGTTTACATTGTGCTTCATTAAGCAAGTTATTTCATATTAGTATTATTATTATTATTCTTATTCTTATTCTTATTATTATTATTTTAGTGACTGCGGATGGGAAATGAGTACTTTTGCTTTCTAGCCCCTTCTTTTCTCGATAACCAAACAACCCATAAATATAGTAACGGGCAGCTTCCTTGTGCAAAAAATAACTTGTGAGAACTGATGGTTACATTAATGAGACACGTAGAATGGGAGTTAAAATCGAAAATACCTTAAACTTAGTCGAAAAAAGGGGTTTAGGGGGGCAAAAATGCAAAATAGGCCCCCAACCACTGTTGGGATGTAACATGCAGCTTCCTCATGCCAAAAATGACTTGTGAGAACTGATGGTACGTAAATAGGACACGTAGATTGGGAGTTATAGTCGAAAACGCCTTAAACTTAGTCGAAAAAGGGCTTTCAGGGGGCGAAAATGCAAAACAACCTTCGAACCAATGTATGGCTATCACAGGCAGCATCTTTGTGACAAATAGAACTTGTAGCCATAGACGACATGTAATTCGCACTCATAGTTTGAGAGTTAGAGCCAAAAACGCCTTGAACTTAGTCGAAAAATGGGCTTTCGGGGGCAAAAATGAAAACCAGCATCCAAACCAATGTATGGCTGTCACGGGCAGCATCCTCATGACAAATAGGACCTGCGGCCAATGACGGCATGTAATTCACACCCGTAGTTTGAGAGTTAGAGCCCAAAACGCCTTGAACTTAGTAAAAAATGGGCTTTTGGGGGGTGAAAATGTAAAACAACCCCTAAACCAATGTATAGATGTTACGAGCAGCATCCTTATGACAAATAGGAACTGTCGCGTAGACGGCATGTAATTTACATGTGTAGTTTAAGAGTTAGAGCCGAAAACGCCTTCATATTTGTCCAAAAAGGGCTTTAGGGGGGGCAAAAATGCGAAATAGCCCCTGAACCAATGTATGGATATTACGAATTTGTTATATATTTACTTGTTTTTATTATTTAATCAAGTTATTTGTTTATTTATTTAGACAAGCCTCCAAACCAATGCACAACTTTCGTCATTAGGGCACAAATGATGTGCAGAAGAAGAGAAAGATAAGGAAAAACAAATAAACTTACAACATAAGAGAAAGAAGAAGAAAGCAAGGAACTGGTAGGACAATATTAACCATGCCATGTTTCCTTAAATTATATAAGAGGTATGCTTGTTTAGAAGAGAGAAACAGAGGCAGAGTATATATACATTTGTCAAGAACAATAACTTTTCCAATACTCCCAATGCCTCAACTCATCTAAACAACCAAAATGTTAAAGCAGAATCATGTTGTTTGGAAAATTAAAACACTACCAAAAATTAAATAGGATTAATTTTCATGAAAACGCGTTTACCAAGTCTTGTATTTAGTTTTTACATAACAAAAAAGCTCAACCTCTTATTACTTATCAAAGACTTTTTGAATAGAACCACAAAAATTGGTCCACCACTTCATCGATGATTTCAGACAACCACTTTATGGATGAGTTCAGACCACCTTACAAAGTTGAATTGGACCATGTATGAGAATTTGAACATGACAAATATGGTAGTAGAATTTGTCATGGTAGATTACCAATCAATTAAAATGCAATGGACTAATTTCAAAATTCTTCCATATACTTTTCAGTCCAACTGCATGGATACAGTACCTGTTTTTCTTAATAAGGCCACATCATTAGATACTAAAGCTGTTTTCCATGAGAAGAAGAGAAAAATGATGGAACAATAAAGTAGCAACCCCATTAATATGTCTTCTACAGTTCATGGAATTGGATTGAAAGTAAAAAAAAATTAAAAACACAAAAGTTATACATAGGACAGATTACAGTCATCACCAAAAGGCTATCAGTCAAGCATTACTATTAGTTTTAAAAAACATGAATACATAGCTACATTGAAGCATGCATTTCTGAATACTGATGTGTGCATTTTTTTTTTTGGTAGATGGCTTTTGGCGTGGACTTGTGGATACTCTTTTTTTGTGTATAGAGGACAATTTCGACTTTTGCATAATCCTGATAATTTTGTCATCCTCCACTTTTGTGTGGATTATTATTACTCGTACATATATTTTTTGACATCGACTTGATAATTACTGGCGTGGTATATAGAATTCTTTTTGTCGTGGTACAGATTATGAAGTATATACATTTTTTGTACATAGAGGGCTTGATTTTTGTAACTTTTGCAGTTATGTTTTGAATGGAATTATTATTTTAGTTTGGACTATATAGTACAGGTTGGACTATGGTTTGTATGGAATTTTGCATTTACAGTTATATATTTTTGGATGGTTGGAAGTGAAATGGATGCAGATCTGTTGTGGAATGATTGATAATATATGTATTGCTTTGTTCATATATGTAGTGCAAATTGCACAAAATACATACAGGCTGTAAACAAATTAGAATTTCGAGAGAAAGCATATAAATTTTTGTTTTTAGCAACTAAACAATTTGTAGACATAAAGGAAGTATATAATTTAAATAGTTAGTAGCTAAAAAAAAAAAATTAAAATGTTTTTGGCGACTAAAAGTTTAGTAGCTAAAAAAACAAATCACACTTTAGGCGACTAAAATGTTTAGTAGCTACAAAATTGCAAACAAACTACAAAAATGTTTTGGCGACTAAAGGTTTAGTAGGTAAAAACACTTCAGACTTTAGGCAACTAAAAGTTTAGTAGCAAAAAAAAAAAACAAACATAGGGGTCTGTTTGGTAACGTTTACGTTTTCAGTTTATATTTACAAAAATTTTATAAACTGGTTTTTGTTTATTTTTAGAAAAACATAAACTACAAACGCGTTTGGTAATTCACAAAATGTTTTAAAAAAATTTAAAAATATAAAAAACAGTGAGAAATGGCAAGTGGCGGCAAGTGGCGGCGGAAGACGGTAGTGAAAAAGTGGTAACGGTGGGTGGTGGGTAGCTGGTGGTGATGGGTGGTGGCGGGTGGGTGGTGGTGGTAGGTGGGTGGGTGACGGTGGCGTTTGGTTGGTGGTCTA